AAGGAGCTGCTTCGGCAGGGAGCTGGGACGCGCTTGTGCGATCAGCCGAAAGTGCTCCTCAGAGTTGGGCCGCTCGCCGCCTCCGAGCCCCAGCGGATGGTTTGGGCAGGGCGCGCCCCGAAACGCGCAGGGCTCCCATGGACCTCCGCAGAGGGCTGCTCCTGCCCTGGGCGCTCTGCCTCCTTCCAGGTAAGCCCGTTTGCGCCTCCGACGCATCTGGCGGGGCAAGGAGGGGAACGTGCACAGTCAGCAGCAAGGCGCGCTTGCCTCTTTTCGTTCGCCGCGAGAGATGCGCCTTGCCAGGACGAGGCTCGCGTGGGGATGTGGCTTTCCCTCCCTCAAAGGCAAGGAGACGAAAGCTGGCAAAGATTTGGAGAAAGGAAGGAAGTTCTGGGTGTTTGCGGACTCTCAGCCCTTGAGTTCGGCTCAGGGACCCCGTTGTGCCTTTTCCAGTTCCTTTCCGTTCATGCTTTCTTTGGCACAAGGAGCAGAGAGGAGAATTTGTTGACAAAGCTTTGTGCGCGCTTTCCCAGTTTCGGGGTCCCTGTTTTTGCGCAAGGCATGAGAAGGGGACACGTCTGTGGTGGCAGAATCTGTCGGGGGTCCTTCTGCTCTTCTAAGATACAGACTAGCGCTCACATCTGGTTTGATGCGTGGCTGAAGGCGGCGTATTGAGTTACCGAGACGGAGGGAGAGGGCGCAACTTGAGCTTATGATTGGCTTCGTTCCTGCACATTTAAACTCCTTTATGCAGCAAGGGGGGCTTGGAGGGCTGGGCTGCCTTGGTTCAGTTTCTTTGACATCGTTTTGTGTCCAGTCCCAGCTCAGAAGCAAAACTGCTGCTCTCTGAGCTTTTAAGAACAAAAAGAGAACTCGCCAACAGGACTCTCTGACAAACTAAATGGTCCACACGACACTGATCCTTTGAGGGGACCCCATATGTATATTTCTGGGGATGTTGTGGAGGTAATGAGTACCTTCCCCCAAACTGAGCAAAACTGGGAGGCAGAGCAAAGAGGGTTCTGGCTGAGGGAGGAACAGCTGGGAATGTGCCTTTACACGTGGACAAGTTGCTGCGTCTCGCTGAAGTCGGGCTGAGCAAAGCAGCAGGCTTGCCCCGTCCCTCCTGGAGGGGCATTTCTGCTGTGACTCGAAATGCTGTTTGTAGAAGCCACCCCATCATCACCCCAGTGTGCCCGAAGAACAGCGAGGTGCACCAACATTTTAAACCACTTGGTTCTTCACAAACAGTCTTGCCTGCAGGACGGGGCTGATGCTCGACTGTGAGCTGTCCAGTTCTGGCCCATCAGTTTGTGCCTGCCGGTCCAGGAGGTGCCAGGACAGCACGCCATGCCTCACGTTTCTGGCATGGAAACTCGGCAGTTTCTTTTTTACTGTCTCCAGTGTGGGAGAGCCCCCCACCTCTCCAGGCAGCTGGTTCCCCTGTTATGTTGCTTTGACAGTGAGGAAGCTTTTCCTGATGTCCAGCCTGAATCTGGGTTGTTGCTTGACTTGATTACTCCATGTCCTACACTCTGGCATTAGCAAGAAGAGATCTTGACCTTCCTCTTTGGGGCAGCCTTAGAGGGACTTCTAGAGGGATCTCATGTCCCCCCTCAGTCTCCTCTTCCCAAAGCTGAACATGCCCAGTCCTCTCAGTCTCTCCTGTTGCCCTTTGCCGGAGCCTTTTTAATTTGCCTGCAGAGGGGAACTACTACTTCTCATGATTTGGATCTTGTTATCCGCCACTGGCATCACTGCCTTGTCATGGCGAAGGGGCTTGCGTAGTCAGATTGACTATGTGCTCTGCAGCCACAGATGGAGAAGCTCTATACAGTCAGTAAAAACTAGACCAGGAGCTGACTGTGGCTCAGATCATGAGCTTCTTGTTGCAAAATTTAGGCTTAAATTGAAGAAAATAGGGGAAAGCACTAGGCCACTCAGGTATGACCTAAATCATATCCCTGATGAATATACAGTAGAGGTGACAAATTGATTGACTGATTGATTGATTTATATCCTACCTTTTCCTATAAAGGGCTCAAGGCAGCTTACATCATTCTCCTCCTCCATCTTATCCCCACAACAACAGCCCTGTGAGGTAGGTTGGGCTGAGTCTGTGACTGGCCCAATGTCACCCAGTTGGCTCCATGGCTGAGCGGGGACTCGAACCCAGATCCTCTGAGTCCCAGGCTCTTTACCACTACACCGCACTGGCTCTCAGATTTAAGGAATTAGATCTGATAGACTAATCTATCAGGAGTCTATTTAAGGGAGATTTAATTTAAGGGAGAAAGAGAAAGATACATCCAATTGAGAAACCTGTATGCAGGTCAAGAAGCAACAGTGAGAACTGGACACGGAAGCATTCATTGGTTCAAAATTGAGAAAGGAGTTCAGCAAGGCTGTATACTGTCGCCCTGCCTATTTAACTTATATGCAGAGCACATCATGCGAAAGGCAGGGCTAGAAATATCAACAACCTCGAATATGCAGATGATACCACTCTCATGGCAGAAAGTGAAGAGGAACTAAAGAGCCTCTTGATGCGGGTATAGGAGGAGAGCGCAAAAGTTGGCTTGAAACTCAACATTAAGAAAACCAAGATCATGGCATCCAGTCCTCTCACTTCCTGGCAAATAGATGGGGCAGAAATGGAGGTAGTGACAGATTTTATTTTCCTGGGCTCCAAGATCACCACAGATGGGGACTGCAGCCAAGAAATTAAAAGACCTGGGGAGGAAAGCTATGGCAAATCTAGACAGCATACTAAAAAGCAGAGCTATCACCCTGCCGACAAAAGCGTGTATAGTCAAGGCTATGGTTTTCCCAGTTGCAATGTATGGCTGTGAAAGCTGGACCATAAGGAAGGCTGAGCGCCTAAGGATTGAGGTCTTTGAATTGTGGTGCTGGCGGAGTCTCCTGCGAGTCCCTTGGACCACAAGGCGATCAAACTGGTCAATTCTAGAGGAGATCAGCCCTGACTGCTCTTTAGAAGACCAGATCCTGAAGATGAAACTCAAATACTTTGGCCCCTAATGAGAAGGACGGACTCCCTGGAGAAGAGCCCAATGCTGGGAACAATGGATGGCAAAAGAAGAAGGGGAAGCCAGAGAAAGAGGTGGCTAGATGGAGTCGCTGAAGCAGTTGGTGTGAGCTTAGGTGGACTCTGGGGGATGGTGGAGGACAGGAAGGCCCGGAGGAGTGTTGTCCAATGGGTCAGATGCAGGTGCATCAGGGTGTGCAGGTGCGTTGAAGGTGAGGTGAAGGGCTCAAGAGGAATCCGCCTGGCACACCCTGGCCACGGCAGAAACTTGCCATTGCTGCCAGAGGACATGTCCTCCCTTGGAGCACGGCTGTCCAGGAGGGGGCGGGAGGGCTTTATCCACGCATGGCAAAAGAGGCTCGGTACATCCCAACAGGGCGGGAGGGAAGCTGTCAGGAGAAGCAGGTGCCTTTCTTCACATGCATGGAGAGAAGGCACGGCAGGGATCCTGAAAGGCCCCATGAGTTCAGCGACCCTCTTGCTCCATGCCTTTACATCCCACCTTCTTTCCCCGTGTGAGGAAACCCATTGTGTGGCCATTCCAAGTTTGTGCCGGGCCAGCTGTGGCACGCAGCCCTCCCCAACGAGATGTGCTGTACTCCAATTTCCAGCATCCCCCAACGTGTCCGCACAAACTGATCCCTAGAGAGCTCCCCCTGTCTTTGTTGGCCCTGTAAGAACTTTAAAACTGCTGATATGTGAATTCGTCATCCGTAATTGTGCTGCAGCTCTGTCTCCTCCGGGAGGTTCTTCAGCAGCATCTCCCATTGGTGAAGAGTTGCCATGGTGATGGCTAATAAATGCTTACGTTCCAGCCATGACGTCGGTGTGATTTAGGAGTTAAGCAGCGTCCCCGTTCCAAAAGCCCGGCTCTTTACCCTGCTTGGTTGTGGGCTTCGCTCACAGAGCGGTTCAGGATTTCCAAAGGAAATCGGTGATCCCGCAAGGCCAGGTTCCAAAGCTGCGCAGGAGGACTTGTGGTGCAGCGCAAGGGACCAGTCCTGTGCAGAATCTGTCCCTGGCACCATGCAGCTCCACACTGTCCACCTGGGCAGACCCGGGGTTTCTTCTAAAGACTATCTGGATGACATTTTTCGCAGCCATGAAAACAACAGTGCTGTAGAAACGGGTTTTTTGTGCAGTCGGGCACGGGAGCGTCACCTCGTTACGGTTTTCTGTCAGAAAATCGCAGGAGATGCTCACCCATTGGGGTGGGAAGGCAATGCATTGCTCGGGGTGGCAACTGTCCAAGGGTTCTGGCATGAGATTTATGTGGCTCCACCTGGAGATGCTGGGCAGGGGGTGGGTGGACCAGGGGGCTTCACATGCAAGGCAGGTGCTCAGCAGAGCTCCCCCTCCTCTTCCAAAGCTCAGCACCCCAGGCTGACCTTCTCCAGGTTGAACTGCTGCTAGTCAAGATACAAATGCCAGCATGGATTGCCGTCCTTTGCCTGCTGGCCGGGGCAGCCTGGGATTCTTAGAGTCATGCCAGCTTGCATGCAATTTGCCCTCGAGGGTGGAGAAGTGGCCCCGGGCAAAGACCCCCTGGAGGGCCTGGTCCAGGAATTCCGGCTAGAAAAGGGAGCTGCTGGGAGGCCCCCGCTGTGCCCTGGTGTCTGAAGGCCACCCACTCAAAAGATGGTGATCTGGAGGCACGGTTTGCAATTGTCATTTCAGCTCATTGAAGCATATGCGTCGTGATTTTTAAGCGCGGGAGTATGTTTTGCTATATCCAAAATAACTGTCCAAACAACAGCACGACAAGGAGTGAGAGTCACACACCTTTTTAAATCTTATCCCAGATAAAACCCTGCATTAGTTAGCTTATTTTCACGTTCTGTCTTTTTTCGCTGCCGTGCTTGGGTTCAGTTTTGTTTTGTACGGCACGCGGACGGTTGTGCAGAGATGTGTGGCGCGCTAGAAGTGATGCGGTGCAATGGCTAGTGATACCGCAATGCCGCTGGCCCACAGGACTCGGGTGAAGCCGCAGGCCAGTAGCCGTGGCAGGGCTGGCTCTGGTGCGGGAGTGGCCGCTCGCCTGGGCTGGGTTCAACCACCGGACAAGCCGCAGTGGTTTTTGGCCACTGCTGGCCCCTTGTATCGTCTAAACCCGGTGGCGGACTTTCACCATGGAAAGTTTGGTCTTCAGAGACCACAGGAAGAAGCAACCGTTTAGTCCATGGCTTCTCTATAGGGCCACGGCTGGCTGCATTGTCTGAACCCAGGAGCATGGTTTCCATGGTCTCAGCATGCACCTGCCATAGAGTCCCCTGGAAAGAGTAATCTACTCTGCCTATGCCAGCCAATGAGGAAGGAGCAGGTACATAGGCAGGGGACTGTGGCTGATGGGATACACACCAACAGCAGGAGGACTGAGCAGGGAGGAGGGAAACCATGATAACATAGAAACCATGTCAGGTAGATCATGGTAAGGGATGAAGAAGCATGAAACATAGAAGCGTAGAGAGTCAGAGGGGGCCTCCCGGCCATCTAGTCTGACCCCCAGCTCCAGCCGGCTCCACTCATGACAAGCCCAGCATAGCACGTCTCTGTCGGTCTTCCTGCGCTTGCCCCTTGGCTCACTCGCAAGCATGTCCTAGTTCTGCCCTAGTTCATGAGCCTAGTTCCTGCCCTCTGGCGCGCTCATGGGGGGCTCCCCACACCAGTTATGCTGATGAGTCCAGTTCCAATTTTGAGGGTGCAGCCATGTTTGAAACAGCCCGGGCTGTGCTCCATGATCCTGAGAGCCAATGGAAGGTGGCGGGTCCAGTCAGCCTGGCCGGGGGAATGTTGGGGAACCACCGCCAGAGGAAGGAGACATTGCTCTGGGGAGTCTCTCTGACAGAGAACTGCCCTCACCCCTGGAAGCCCTAGGCCTGGCTACTTGCGATCATGATGGAAGGGAAGGCCCACTCGGGGCACAATAGGAAGAGCGGAGGCATGAGGGGACCCAGAAGGGCTCATAAAGTAAGCCTTGGGTAATGAAACTTCGCTTTGTGCATGCGCAGAGACTCATATGTAACAATTAAGGTCATGAAGCAAAGAAATGCTTAACAAGCAGGGGGAGTCTCCCATGAGCACAGCTGAAGTTTGACAGCCTAGCTTTGGGGTTTGGACTCTGTCTCACCTTGAGATTTCTGGCCCCGGTGCCTCCGCCTTATCTCCTTCAGCCCACGTCCTGGCCTTGGACCTGACAGATCCCAAGGACGGTTTCCAGGAAGTCAAAGAAAACATACCGGCTTACCCTGGTGTGCAGATGCAGGCTGCCAATCCAGCGCCGGTTTTCTCCACCCTCAGTGCTGAGCCAAGTCCCTTTTGCTTTGACAAAGACTAGACCTCACTTTGTGCTCCTTTATTTCCCCCGTATTTTGATGGCAATTTTGCGTGGCGGCAAACAACTCATCCGGCATTCTTTTGCACTTCTTTATCCATTGTTAATGTGAGCTGCTTTACAGATAATTGGAAGGGGAATGGAGTAGAAAGGGGGTGATACTCCTTGCCTCTCCAAAATTATGCAAAACCTAGAATGTCGTAGTGGTGAAGTGTGTGTGCTGCGAATCACTTGGTCCCTGTTCGGATCTCTTCAAGGCTGAAGCCTGGAGACTGCAGGGGTTGGGCTCACCTCTCCCAAAATGCAGCACTGCAGGGTGAATATTTCAGCCCCTGAGTTGGGACTGGAAGAAGTCGCAGCTTTGGAAAGCCAAGCTGGATGGGCTGTGGGCGAGATCCTGGCCACCCTGGCTCACGGGGAGACACTGTGGGACCGGGAGGGCCAGAAGAGGAAGGCAGTGACTTCCTTAGCCCAGCAATCCAACATGAAATTTGGATTTCAAAGCATCACAACTGAGTAATACCTGGTGCTCTTGCTGTCAGGCACAGCCCTTCCTGAGGGTGGAGCCAACTCTTTTTGGTGGACAACAGAGGAGGGGAATTCAATTGGAAGCAACTCCTGCTAAGGGCAAGAGCTACGTCCACACATAGCAAGAGGCATCCATTGAGTTAGGACTTTCTAATAACCTTGGTATCACAAAGCCGGTCCCGGTTGGTCAGCTTTAACAGGGAAGGGAAGGGAAGGGAAGGGAAGGGAAGGGAAGGGAAGGGAAGGGAAGAGGTTAGGGGAAAGAGAGATGCAACAGAGCCCTCCATAAGACATGATTTCGTCCTCCCCTCCCTCCACTGGTGCAAAAGGGGGCCGGGGAGTGCCGACAATGCACAGAAGAAATCACTTCACGGGCCCTGACAAGTTGCCTGAGATTCTGCAGGGCCAGGAGTGCTTTTCCACAGCTGTGCTTGTTCCTAGGATGCCCAGGCCTGCCCAGTTGTGTGTGTGAGTTTGCATTAGTCACCTCTTGCCTGGACTACTGCAGTGTGCTCTGTGTGGGGCTGCGCTTGGAGACCACTTGGGCATCGGTGCAGGGAGTTTGGAGAAAAGTGGTAGGAGAACTTTTGCCTGGAGAAGAGGTCTAGGAACGCACGGCCTCTTCATTGCAACGGCGGTGCTCTTTGCCAGGTTGCTCCACTGGGTCCATGTACACCTCGTTCCACTCAGGAAATGTTCTTGCTTTGAGAGCTGAAACAGCTTTGCAGCTTCACCCCATTCCGCTTCATCCTGTTATCAGTGTAAATGAGCTCTATATTGCCCCTTGAATGGCCCCCTGGAATTGGCCCAATGTCTTTATCTTATTTATTTTCTGTACCACCCAGCAGCCAGCACTCTCTATTTCTCCTTGCGTGTTGTAGGGGAAAATTTACAGACTTCCTTTTCCCATTTTTCTTTTCCTGCTGGTAAAAAGATTCAAATGCTCCGCTGAAAATTAAAGTCAGGGAAAACTAAGGAGGAAACATTACAGATTTTTCCCTGCCCTTCTAAAGAATAAATGAAACTGGGGGGAATTTACCGAGGCTATTCAAGAAGCAGTTTCAGCGCTGTTCTCCTCTAGTCCCGCAACCTGAACTGACAGGATCCAGTCAAGCCGGGCAACCAGGAGGAGGCATGCTCAGCCCTGAGGCCCGCGGCTTCCCAAAGCCACGCTCCCGTTGGCAAAGAACAGCCCTGCCCGGCCTTTGCTCACGCCCCAGTTCCGGGCACAAACCAGGTCTGGATGGCATTGTCATAATTCTGTTTCCTAAGCGCTGCACATTTTTCCAGTCATGGGTGAATTATGTAAATTGCATGTTTGGTCAGTTAAGCAACCCACCTCTGATTCCCCACCCCAGACCATCCCTTTCATAGTTGCTTTATTTGGAGGTTGGCTTTTCTTTGTACTTTGCCATGCAAAATGTATCTGTGAGAAGTCTCCTGCTGCAATTCCTAGCAAACTTCCGTGAGTGTGCTTGGATGGGGTTACAGCTAATAAAATAATATGCAATGGACATACAAAGGCTGTGGAATCCTTCAGAATATACCCTTCTTTTCCCGGTAGGTGGAAATTCCTAATTCTGCATTTTTCCCTCTGTGTGTAGTTTGGGTTTTCCTTTTTTGCCAGTACTGATACATTTGGGTTGTATTTGCCAGCCTTTCCCCATCTTCTTTGCACTCTGTACTTCAGAGTATCGTGGAGAGAAAGGGAAGTCTCGAATTAGGGGTTAAGGGGGGTTTTCAGGAGGATGTCAGAATCAGAGGAATTTGGGGTTAGGAAGAGTGAGCTGCAAAGGCTCTGAAAGAGGGAACCAAGTTGGAGACTTGCCAAGAGTGCCTCACACGGCCCTCCCTGGAGGAAGGAGCCTGGCTCCCTAATTCCTGCGGGAGGCCCTTGCCAAGAGAGCGGCTGCAAACATAGAAGGGCTTTCTTGTGAAGGGGGCGCAGTGGCACAAGCCAGCGATGTGATGGAGCTGCAAATAGGGCAAATGCTATTTTGAAGTGCATGAAAAGAGCCTCCTGATGACCTCTCCCGGCGGTTTCATGTAGATGTTAAATAGCAAAGGGGACAAAATGGACCCCTGCGGAACTCCATGGCATAACTGCCATGGCGCAGAGCCATAGTCCCCCAGCACCACCTTCTGGGATCGGCCGTTGAGATAGGAGCGGAACCACTGCAAAGCAGTGCCTCCGACCCCCAATCCCGCAAGCCTAACCAGAAGGATACCATGGTCGATGGTATCGAAAGCCGCCGAGAGGTCCAGGAGGACCAACAGGGACGCACTCCCCCTGTCTCTCTCCCTGCACAGGTCATCGTACAGGGCGACCAGGGCAGATTCAGTACCGTACCTGGGTCTGAAGCCGGACTGAAATGGGTCCAGATAATCAGTCTCATCCAAGAACGCTTGGAGTTGTTCCGCCACCACCCGCTCTGGCACCTTGCCCAGGAACGGCATGTTGGCCACCGGTCTATAATTGGCGGCCACCTCTGGATCCAGGGATGCCTTCTTTAGGACTGGCCGGACTACCGCCTCCTTTAAAGGGGCAGGTACCCGGCCATCTCTTAAAGAGGCGTTGACCACCTCCAGGATCCAGGTCCCAATCCCGTCCTTGGCTTTCTTCAGTAGCCAAGATGGGCATAGGTCTACTAAGCAAGTGGTAGGACGTACTTGTCCAAGCACCTTGTCCACATCATCAGGCCGCAACAACTGAAATTCATCCATTAATTGTGGACTCGACGGCGTCGATGGCGTCTCCCCAGTAGAATCTGATTCAATAGTAGAGTCAAGCTCGTGGCGAATCGGAGCGATTTTCTCCCTGAAATGCTTGGCAAAGTCGTCCCAGCGGGCCTTCGAGGGTGGCACCAGATCCTTCTTTGGGCCCAGATGTACCAGCCCCTGCACCACCCGAAAGAGCTCCGCCGGACAGCATTGTGAGGAGGCAATGGAAACGGAGAAGAATTTCTTCTTCGCCGTCCTCACCGCCACAGCTGCAGGGGCCGGATCTTTGTGCTTTGGTTTCCTTTGAATCTGCTGCATCCCAAGGAAGCTACGGAAGAGCCCCGTTGGACGGAGGAGGTGCCAGCTGCCGTGCAGGCCCAGAAATCCGAGTCATGCAGCGGCGGCCCCTGGCCAAAAAGCCCCAGTGCCAGCTCATTGCACTTGGTGCTTGGGTCTCTTTACAAAAAGCGCCAGGCTGTTGAGATTCCCAATGGCCCTCCTGGCTCTGTTTGAAAAAAGAACCTATGAAGATGGTTATGTTCTCTCCAGTTAGAATTCCGTTCTAGGTTTAGAACACTAGCCAAACAGAAATTATGATCACAGTCTTTTTTCCAGGTTGCAAGAATTATCCTTTTATTTATCACCCATGTTTTACAAATACAGTTTGAACAGAAGGGGGAAGTGGAAGAAACTGAGTATAAACGAAGCTGGGTCGTTTTCTCTTTCTCTTTACATGCTTCCTAAATGGCTTGGCACGGATAATGACTTTTCGAGGACTGGACAGTGGGAAAGAAAAACAGGGGCTGTCCCGTTTCATTGGAGTCCCCTTCCGTTTACATTCCAGTCCTTTTCAGACTGTGGTCGACAGTAAAACTGATCAAGAAAGAACCTTGCAGGCATCAAACGATTTCCTCCCTTCGGTAGTCAAAGAAGTGGATCTCAGAGGAAGGCACGGCCAGACGGTAGCTGTCTAGGTCTCCGTGCTTTCGTGAACAAAGCCGAGCAACACGTGCAATGTCCGTGGCTTTTAACTACATTCTGCTCGTCTTTGGGAATCAGTGGAGATACCTGGAAATAAAGAGCTGGACTTTAAGAGTAAGGCTGCGCCTTCACTCCAGTTCTAAACTAGGCTGGGCCTTGGTGGACCACAGGGCTTTCCTCAGAAAATCCCAGGATGTGCTCCGTCTTCATATTGATGCAGACGGCACTGGTGTGGAGCCAAAGAGCAGACAGCACTCTGCTGGGCTGGGGAGGCGCCACCATCTGGCAGCAGTGTCCTGCCTGAGACAAACACTGCCTGCTTCTGGAAGGCCAGGGGACCAGGTGGCAGGCAAGAGTCGTTCCCATTCTCAAACTCAGGCATGGGAGGGTCTGGGAAACCTTTAACTGGTCCACTTGACGTGGATTCCTGGTCTTGGAAAGGTCCCAGAAGAGAGACTTGGGCAGACTTTCTGTGAGCATGGAGCAGAAAAGACTTTGGTCACCGCTTGGTAACATAGAAACATAGAAACAGAGTGAGTCAGAAGGGATCTCCCAGGCCATCTAATCTGACCCCCGGCTCCAGCCCGCTCCGCTCACGACATGCCCACCTTGTGCATGTCCAGCCTCTCCTTGAACACCTCCACCGATGGGGCCTCAACCACCTCCCGGGGAAGCCCATTCCACACC